ATATCATATAAGTATAGGGTTGTATTTTAAAACCTTTTAAAATCTAGGGTTTGAAATTTAAGTTGTCTAAATTAAAACTTTTAATCACAAATATAAATTTCAAAACTTTAGGGTAGGTTTTAAACATTTAAAACATGGAGGATCAAATAACAAATAATTCCAATTAACAATTAATATCCTAATTATCTTTATTTGATTTATCTAAGATTTCTTTCAAGATAATTATCAAAATAATTAATCATTATCATATAAGGAAATTAAATATTTTATTAGATGATAAATATCTTTAATTAGATCAAGATAATAGTCATATTTATCAAAAAATCGGATTTAGATTGATCTAATATGATTAAGGTAAGTTTCCATAAGATAATTATGAAAAAATCCCGAATCTGGCCATTCCTGACGCCTGGACTCGCCGAGTACACAAGGGGACTCGCCGAGTCAGGCCTACTCACCGAGTCCACCTTGGAACTCACCGAGTCAGTGACTCAAAAACCCAAAAAATCGAATTTTGCAGGTTTGTTTCAGTTAATCAAGCAACAATTTAAAGAAAACCAAGCTAGGCTCTGATACCACTGATGGGTTTTAGCCATAAGAACTTTCCTATGTGCGCATGCAAAACCCTATTGCTCGGATCTAGGCTTTCTAATTAAACATGCTTTGAATCCAAGACTTCTAATAGCTAATTAGGTTAAATAACAATGATGAAACAGATCTAGAATCATACCTTTGAGTTCCTTGTTGATCTTGTTGTCTTGGAGCTTCTAGAGTCACAAATGTCACTCCTCTAATGGCTTACAAACACCAATAGCAAGCAAGATGATTTAGGAGAGAGGAGAGGGGAGGAATTCGGCCAGAGGTTCCTTGCTTTAGGTTGTGTGTCGAATTCCCTCACCCCTAGGGTCTATTTATACTTGTAGACTCCTTAAGGGTTTCAACCTAAACCCTAATTGGATAATCTTCTCTTAAGGCTATCCAAATCCATTCCATAGATAACCCTATGGACAATTTTGGCTTATCCAAGTCCTAGAAATCGTCCATCCTATCTAGGGTAAGGATTTACAGTCTAAAGTTTAACTATCAAACAATTGACAGTTTGTACCCTCTTATTTAATTAATCTCTTTAAGTCACCAAATTAATACCAATTAATTTATGACTTATATTAATCAAATAGCCATATATTATTCCTTATAATATTTACTCTCTTTTAACAAATCATCCATCAAGTTGCTATGGTGAAGGCAACCCAAAAGGACCATGCACAACCGGATATAGTTATAGCCTTAGACACTATTCCAACATATTTAGCATGTGTTTTCCCCCAAAAATATTAGAAAGTGGGGCCGTGAAACTCACCTTAATAGCGTGTTTATAGAATTTAAACGGTCAGAGGCTCGTCGTAGTCAAGGTCAGGAAGGGAAAATGGCCTTTGGAAACGAGAGAGAATGAAAGAAATGGTGTACTAAGCCTTGGGGTCTCGCAGCTTCTAGATTCCGAATTATGATAGAATGTCGTGAGCGTAAAACTCACGTCGTGAATTGGATCTTATCCTCTCGCAGCTTCTAGATTCCGAATTATGACTGAATGACTCCTCACGTCGTGATTGTCATAAAACTCACATCGTGAATTTTGGATCCTATCATCTCGCAGCTTCTAGATTCCGAATTATGATAGAATGTCGTGAGCGTCATAAAACTCAAGTCGTGAACTGGATCTTATCCTCTTGCAGCTTCTAGATTCCGAATTATGATAGAATGACTCCTCACGTCGTGAGTGTCATAAAACTCACGTCGTGAATTTGGATCCTATCGTCTCGCAGCTTCTAGATTCCGAACTATGATAGAATGTCGTGAGCGTCATAAAACTCACGTCGTGAATTAGCTAGCTTAGGGTTTTTAAAAGCTAAATCTTTGGAATGCCATAACTTTTGCATACGAACTCCATTTTTGATGTTCTTTATATCCACGCGTAGGTATTTATGAGTACTACAACTATCTTTTAGACTTAAATAGCTAATTCTAAGCCTATTTTAAATTCCTCTTATTATAGAGATTTATAGTGTTCGGTTTATCATAACTTCTTCATGCGAAGTCAGATTCAGATGTTCTCTATATTTTTGAAATCGTATGGACGTATAATTGATTTATACCATAAAGTATGTATGAAATTTCATATTTATATTAGAATTATCATGAAATACATAGTATTTTACTACATTACTAGTTTAACAAAATCACATTACATGATTGGTATAATCACATGTGATTGTTATTGACCTACTTTTGACTAGTGTTACATTCTGCCCCCATTGATAAAATTTTGTCCTGAAATTTATTTTTAACTAGATACCACCAAAGGGTACTAGATAGCTTCCCTGCTTCGTATTACAATTGACCTACAATGACCTAACTTCCTTGACTTCTTAACTTTGGACATTCCTTCTTGATATGTCCAATTTCACCACACTTAAAACACAATCTTCCTCCATCATAGCCTGTTCCAGTGTTTGTTTCTTGATTTTATGTTGTAGGTGTTTTGCTCCTGCAGAAATTGGCGGTGTGTCCCTTCTTTTTGCACTTCATGCAAATACAACAGTCACCTGCGTGCTGATGGTTGCATTGACTGCACCATGAACAGTTACCTAGGTGGTGATGGTTACACTGAGTGCATTTTGAGAGTTTTCCCTCATACCATCGTGGTTGTGTGGGTAATGTTGTTGTGACTGCATAGTTATTTGTCACATCATGTCTTTCCTCAGATGATTGTATGGGATTCTTCCCATTAAATTTGCATTTGTTCATTCCAGATTCAGGAGACTCAGCTATAAATCATACTTGGATTTCTATACTAGTTAACTGATGAGCTATATGCTTTGCACTGTCATATGGTGTAGGCTTCGATGCGATCACCATTCCTTTGATTTGCGATGCTAGACCCCAGATATATCGCTCAATCTTCTTGTATTCTGGGATTACAAGTGCCGGACACATCACCACAAGATCTTTGAATCTAGCGGTATAAGCATTTATCTCTGAACCCTTCATGGTTAGGGCCCACAATTCTTGTTCCAGCTTATGTATTTCCTCCCTGGGACAATACTCCTCTACTAGCATGCTCTTCAGCTCTTCCCATTGCATGGAATTGGCGGCATCAATACCCGTTGTATTCACATGACTGTTCCACCATGTAAGTGCTGCATCAGCGAAGGTACACGCAGCAAATCATACCTTACATTCATCCGGACAGAAGCTTATTTGAAATACTGATTCTGTCTTTTCAATCCATCGGGTCAAGCTAACAACCCCTTTCGTTCCATGGAAGCTCTTAGGTTTGCAATTCATAAAATCCTTGTAGGTACACATTCTGGCGGTCCTTACATTGCCTTCATTTCTAACTCCTCCTCTTGTGAAATTAGCAAGAAGTACAACGATTCTCTAAGCTATAATTTCTTCAAGTTCTGCTGAACTTATTGGAGGGTTTTGTTTCTGGTGGTGGTGGTTGCGGTTGTTGTTGTTCTGGTTCCGGTCGTTGGTTCAGGTTTAGACGAGCGCTACTTCTTCTAGGCATTTTGTTTAGTTCCTATACATTTTAGATCACCAAGTGTTTAGGCTATCAAATATTACTCCCAATTTAAATAGTTCATATGATCTGATCATAATAAAATATAGTTGTACACCTACACCTAATTGTGATAAGATCTATGCACATACAAAATTTAGTTGGAATATTTGATCTAAATCCTTGAGATCAAAAGCATTCCGGGTATTTAGGTGTATTCTCATCGCGGGTCTGAGTCTTCATATATGACTCTATATTTATTATTTTTTATATTCATGCTCTATTAATTATTGTTTGTTACTTCAGGTCTAGCTGATAAGGCACCGGCCAATCAGGACAGTCGAAAGGGCAGGATCATTTTAGCATATAGCCGTTCTGAAATCCAGCAACCCAAATCGACATGTCTATCATGTCACCGCTCCCGTAAGTAGTCCTTTAGTAGAATATTTAATAATACTTTATATTGTAGGCTAAGGGATATACCTAAACCTAACAGAGTAAGCCCTAAACTATAGTTGTGCTTTCCTAAGAAAGTACTAATTCACTATAGTTAATAGCTCTGATACCAATCTGTCACACACTACAAGAAAAAGACCCTTTTACGACGTGCAAAACACGACGCTCTTTGATTTATGTTATGCATTAGAGAACGACATTAAGAAAGTGTCATCTATTCAAAAAATTTAAGGATTTAGGTCGCGCATTACTGAGTTCCCTTAAATTATTGTCTCATTTAAAAATATTAAAAAACACGGAAGGCACTTGTGCGTCGTCTGTGAATGTCGTTTTTTTTAAAGAAACGTGCATCTCGAAGGGAAAATGAAATCCCTAAATTTTTTAAACCCCCACCTTCTTCTCCCTCTTCTCCACCCCTCATCCACATCCACTACCACCAATCCTCATTTCCTCTTCTAGCCTCAAACTATGACGATGCACCTTCCTTCTCGAATAATGCTTCATTTACCACCATCGTCTGATTATGTGAGCCCAAGGAATTGACGGAGACGAAGAAAATTATGGATCAATTGCTTCACATCATGTTTAAGGTTAAGGGTTTGAGATTTCTTCCAAATCGACCATCACACTAAATGGTTCGATCTCCTCTCTTTTTACCTTGTTCCCTCTACTGATGCCTCCACCTTCTACCATCGGTGTTGATCTTTGAATTAGCAACAAGAAGCCCTAGGGCCTCCGCTTTCACCCACCTCTTCATCCACCTCCAGCGCCTCCAACAAGAAGCCCTAGGTCCCCCGCCTTCAACCACGTTCTCACAGTCGATCGTAAATCGGTTTTTAGGTTCTTCCAAGATTCAACCAATATGTAGGTGGAGGTAGGTTACGATTTCGTATCAAAAGACTTCACTTTTAGGCGGAACAAAAACCTAGGGCTCAATTCTATTAATCGGTAGCAAAAGTCAGACGTAAGCTCAAAACTTGGCATGGAAAGAGTCTCGACATCCACTTCAGGTAAGTTATTCAACATGGATTGTCTATCTCCTGCTTCTTCTCTCAAATTAATAGCAGCCAACAAAAGAACTTTGAGAATGATATCTAGTGCTTTCTTGATTTTCACCCAAATTGTGATTTCTTCTTATGATATGATAGGTTCGTTCATTAAGTTGCTACCTTTACACCAACGAGGGTGGAGCTAGAGAGAGAGTTTATGGTGTGCAATTAAAGTTGCATGTTTTTTTCGTGAAGTTATTCTCTCTCTCTCTCTCTCTCTCTCTCTCTTTCTCTCTCTCTCCCCCTTCTCTCTATAATTTACATATATAATGATCCAATCTCACAGTTTCAGGCTTTGATGTACCTCAAACCTGAAACTTGGTCTAAAGGCTGTGGCTGGAATCAGAGTAGGTTTTTTCTCACTACATAAATAAATTCTTGTGTATGAATTACAATTACAATCACAAATCTCTTTTTCAGAGAAGAAGTGTATGAACAATTCAAAGAGGTTAAATGGATGGAATGGTGTGAAGATGTCATGACTCAAGAGAAAAAGACACTCAAGCGCCTTCGTCGCCTTCAAACCACCAGTGCAGATCAGCTACACTTTATTTATGTAGGATTGTAAGCTATTGAACTATAAAACTCATATATGTCTCTTAATTACTGACTATGATACATATTGACAATTACAGAGGTATTGACTATGTTGTTGCTAACAATGAAATCTCTAGAAGAGCTCCAGATCTTCCCTTATGATAAAACATGTTACCTTTTTTTTTTCTTCCACTATCGTGGGAGCAAACTAACTGAAGTTCTTTGCGATTTGTTTGTTGGAAACTCAAGGACTGTTATGATATCTTGCACTTCACCAAATGTTGGTTATTGTGAACACGGTCCCAATACCTTGCTTCTAACTTTTTTTTTTTGAACTTTTAATGCTATTTTTACTAGCTTCTAACTTTATCTTTAACCTTTAATATGTGTTTTATACAAAATCTGGATAATCTGGGAGGAGGGTTATGTCTTTAGCTTTTGATGTTATATCTCGACTTCTAGAAACTGGCCCAGTGAGTTTTCATTTAGTGCATCAGCCAATTAATATTTGTTTTCATTTTATTCCTTCTTACAAATGAATTATAATCATCTGGAAACAGGGATGGAGACTTGTTTCACCATAATTTTCATCTTTGCTGGAGTCTGCAATTTTTCCAGCAATAGTAATGAATGAAAAGGTTTGATAGTTATTGCTTCAATTTTGTTGTTTGTTGCTATTATAACTACTTACTCCCATGGATTTTACTCTGACCATTTTACCCTTTTACTTTTTTTTAATTATGTTAATCATTCACAGAAAACCCTTATTTCCATGTGATTATGTTTTTCAAGTGCATGTTAAATAAAATAAGGTACCTCAAAATTCTGCATAGTTTTAGCCTAGAGTTATGAGGTTTAAGTTTAAAAACTAAGCAATAAACTTTTATTTTGGTAATTAATGACAAATTGAAAAATGTCTTAACAAAAAATTGATTTTTTGATAAGATTTCAGTCTAAAGAAGAGATTCTTACTAATAATTCAGACCAAAAACCACATCGAGGCTCTCCAAGAAGAGATGAATGTCTGGGAGATGGAGAAGACTCGGTTTTCTCTTGTTAACCCCTTTTAAGTATGTTTAAGTATGCATCTTTTAATTCAGGGGTACTTATGTCTATTAACATGTTTCTTTTTCCATTTTCTTTGATTTCTAGCTTTTTTCCTTCTATTTAAGAACTCGTTCCTTCCTTTCCACCCCTGTACTTTTGCTAGATCTTTGATGTTGCAATGTTCATATGCAAATAGTCTTTATAATCATGTGTTTTCTTGGCCTTCTATAAAGTAGTAGTAGTAGAAGAAGAAATAATCAAAAACAAGTTCTTAATTTTCTACCTTATTTGCTTGAAAACACACAATCATAAAAAAATTCTTCTTCCATCAGGTTATTTGTTACCCTTTTAGATTCTATTGCCATCATTGCTACCAATGTTGTCCAATCCATTCCGTAATTTTCTTCTGGTTTAAAGGGCGTCACTAGATCACCACCATTCTTCATATTTTATAATTTTATAAAGAAAATAATGTATTTTATTTATTAATTGTGAGTTTTATCTTTGTGTAGGAGCATGCCTTGATGTTGTAGCAAAAAGTCTCAACTCAAAGCTTTTGAAGTTTCAACTAGATGGATATTCTTTGGTAACTTGATGGATGTTGGACTATTTTTTTTGTGGTGAAGAAAGTTTCAAAACAGGTAAATAAATTAATATATATATTTTTTGAAGAATCTTTCACTACATTTCTAATTATTTTGTTTTTATTTGTTATAGGATCGAACCATATATGTGATAAGCAACTTACTTGAAGCAAATGTATTCAAGGGGTCCCACAATGTGGTCAACCCTACAACTGTGAAGTCGTGGAAAATACTAACTATTCAAGATTTGCTTTGTTTAAAATGCAAGTAAAGAGAAGGCTTGATGACAATTAGAAAAACATAATCAAATAGATGATGACAAGGTTAGTCCATTTATTTTGGTTTCCCCTGTTTTATTTACTTGTTTGTTTCAAAATTTATTTTTTTAAGATAAGAGTTGTAGTGTCCTTATATAATTATTAGCTAAACTTGTTAAGAATATGAAATAAAAACTTTTTAAAAGCAATTACAGTTAAAAGTTTTAACTAAATTAATTGTCACGAATAATGGTGTAGAGCTGGTGGGTTTTGCAAACTTCTTTAGATTGAAATCAAAACCATTCCAATAAAAAATGTGGCTTAATTCTGTATTCAGATAAGACATCCATTTGTGTTGCAATAAATGACTTTTTTACCCTTTGGAACATTTCTTGTTACGTTTTGTAAATGTAGGCACTAGAAGTTGTGGAGGCAAAATATTTGTAGGCATTTGATCTTGCCTCCAAACCTGAAGGAAGTGGGACCCCAACAAAAGACTTGATTTGAAGGTGAATAATATATTGTTTTACATGAATGGCAGTCACAAAAAACAGAAGAATTGCTTCTTGAATTGAAGTTGAAATCAGTAGTGAGCAACCTGCAGCCCTACAATCGTTCCAAATGAAACTACTAGTGCAACCGCTTGTGTAAGTCTCATCTCATACCAAGTTTATTTTTAGGGGCATTTGTGTCTTTTCTGCATAGACTAATCTAATTGGAAAATATGTAGAAACCAGGGATGTAAGTTTGACCCATAGGGACCCGACCTGAACATGGCAATATTCCCCGACTTGACGTGTAATCAGGCGGGGACCAGTTCTATTTTTCATATCCGAAGCGGGAATGGGTCGGTGACGGACTGACAGGTATGACAATATCCGTCCCGTTTAATACCTGATTATATATATATATATATATATATATATATATATATATATATATATATAGTAAATTTTAAAAATTTATGAGGATATTTTATTTTTATTAGTGTTGCAATTAAAACCTAAGAAGATGATCAATACAATATTAGTCTAACGAAGATTTTTTATAATAGTTTGCTGCTCCAGGTGGTATTTATTTCATAGCCTGTATATGATAGTTTACCAAGTTCATGCTTAATAGTCTTTTAGATAATTTAAATATTTTGAGTTATGTATGTTCATGAAGAAATTTTATCATTAGGAAGCCTCATATGTTTAAAATATAATATCTAATTGATGATCCTAAGCTCAATGAATTCAAGATAATCGTTATATATAATTTAGTGATAGTCATTTTTAATATATCTTCAAGTTATGCTTCTTAAATTAAGGTACAAAAAAGAACAAGCTATTTCTCGTAAGCCTCATCTCTTTTTTTTTTCCAACAATTATTTAAGTTAAAAGATGTGCATATTGAAAAATGAACATGAGAGTATTTGTGTTTTCCTTTGAAAATTAATGCAAGACTTGATAAAGAGGTTAAGTGGAGAAGCAAATGTTGATCTTCTAATGTTGTTCTTTTACAGGTGCTTGGAATTAGACCTAAAGTTGGTTGCTGATATAGGAATAGTGGGGTCTCCAAATGCAGGAAAAAACATGTTTTTAAGTGTTATTAGTGTTGACATGTAATGTTGTTTGACATTTAATGTTAGGTAACTTGTTTGACATGTGATATTTTTTTGAAATGAATTATCTTTCTGATGTATGGTATTTTATTTTGTATTATGATAATTTCAATATGTTGTTTAATTTGAAAATTAGTAATTTTATCAAAAATATATTTTTAAAACATTTAAAATTATGACATGCAAATACGTGTCATCTTCATTTATGACAGGGGCTTTCTTGATACGCATTGCGTGTCATTAACATGCGTGTCGTAAGTTTACGACACACGAATGTGTGTCGTCTTCCTTTATGACAGGGCTTTCCTTGATACACATTGCACATCGTAAACGCACGTCGTAAATGAGCATCGTCTATAGATGACGCGCAAAAGCGCGTCGTCTCTCTTTATGATGGGGCCTTCCTTGACGCGCATTTGCGCATCGTCTGAGCCTTTTACAACGCGCAATGAGCGTCATAAAAGGCTATTTTTCTAGTAGTGACACCCCGGCCGTCGGCGGAAACACCGGGCGGTGTAACGTCATTTCTCGTATCATAGTTATCAACTTCCTGAAAACACATGCAATTTAAAATACGTCAATATAAAGTTGGTGAGTTCACAGGTTTTGACTCCATATAAAAATAACACTTTTTCTCAAGTTCAAAAGTATAGTTTTTGTCACACCTCAAAACCGATGGCGAAAGCGTTCCGGGGCGGAGGACGTCATGTAAGTATCACAACCAATGTACATAGTAAGCATAGTAAACACAAAACATTACATTACATATGATTGATTACATTTGTTTAAGAGTAAAGTAATACACATTTATCTATACAAAAGTTTGAACAAAAGTAAGACGTGTCTTCTAAAACGCTCCGTCTTCTCCAAAAGATTGCGGGTACCTGTCTAATGTGGACCTGAGAATACAAGCAATTTGAAAATCAGCATAAAGCTGGTGAGTTCATAAGTTGTTTGTTTATGTAAAACGATCATGTTTCCTTTGGTTTTCTGAAAAGTTGTTATCAAAGAAAATCCCATATTTTCTTATAAAAACAGTTTGGTTAAAGTTCTGAATTTCCGTTCAATACAACAATAGATAGTTTAGTACATAAAACTATATAATGAAAGATCTCTGGGAAATACCATCCAGGACAACAGTAGGTGGTTTTAATATATAAAACTATAGATTTAGAACCACTGGGAATACCATCCAGCAAAACCATAGATTAAGAGAAGATATAGATTTCCGTGAATAAACTTATACTTTTATATTAATACGTATTGTGAGTCGGGAAACCATGCTAATATGACAACGAGACCTCCTTTGACATTCTTCAGGTGTCGGACGATATCGAGAATTTGTCACCCCAAGCATGCCCGCCTAACTGAAGCTAGCAGTTTAGGTGTGGGATTGCCAGTCCCGAATAGATCTATTCACAAATTCCACGCTCTCCCTCCAGGAGACTCTGGTTACACTTCCGGGGAGGATTTACTGAAAACCCGAAGGGTTTAATGAAGATACATCTCACAAACTAGTATTAAATTATTCACGATATACTCGGTGGTTATCAAACGTCATACAGTAAAACAGTTTAATATAATGAAATTTATCTGGCATTATATTCTAAATTAAACAGAGATAAACTGAATCAGACATAGTTTATCTATTAACTTTGCATTGATCTGTGCCCGTAAAACAAGAACTGAAGATTCCAAATTATTCCCATAATAATTTGATTGATTTGATTATTTCCTTTACTGTAATTGAAATTCACGTGACTATATTCGATAAACCATCCCTTATGCTCCGCATAATACATAAGGGGTAAAGATATCTAAAAGTTTGCCAGATATTTATAGAATTTCATCAGTTTTAAGTTTCAAAAACATTTATAGTTTGCTTGTATTCCCCCCCCCCCCTTGAAAACATTGAAAACACAGAAAAAAAGGCGTAGGGGTATGAACTCACCAGTCGAGAAACGAGTCGGTTTGGATGCTAAGTGTCAATTCGGGGCTTGATAACGTGCGAGGTTCCTATGTAATATGAAATGATACGTAGTTGTATCTAATTAGACTTCGAACCACTAATTAGATAAGAGTAAACATTTCTAGTCGCGAAAACACTTCAATTCAAGTGTTTGGAGTGACCCGGGTAGCATCCATGGACGAGTAAGGCTTGGATATGGAGTTTACTCTTCAAGAGTAAACTCCTTTAGGAGTTTACGGTCCAAATGACCAACTCCACATGAGTTTACGGCCATAAACTCATGGTGGGGGTGTTCTTGGTTGCTAAATGGCCTTATAACTCATGAAAGGTGATGCTAGGCTTGGTTTCAAGGCATTGGAAGGTGATTTGAACATCCTAAGGACCATTTGAGGAGTTTACGGCAGTAAACTATGAGTTTACGGCCATAAACTCTTATATGCCATGTCTTAATGTGTTTTGGTGGTCTTAGGTCAATTACAATGCACAAAGGAAGGTTCTAGGGTTGATTCCATGGCTTAGGAAGTGATTGGGACTTGAATTGACCTTGTAAAAGGAGTTTACAGTCTATGAAGATGTTCTTGGCGAGTTTACTATGTTAAACACATGAGTTTATGACATTAAACTCATGTTTCTCCATGATTCATGTGATTTGGTGGTTGAAGGTTAAGCATGCTAAGTTCTAGACCGATTTCTAGCCATACAAGGTGTTAAGGGCACTTTAACACCCATTGGAGGAGTTTAAGGTCTAAGAAGAGGTATTTACAGTCCAAGAATGTTCTTCGGCCGTAAACTCAAGTTTGACCCATTTGAGTATGTTTTGGTGCATCTCCTGAAGGATTATAAGGTTCTATACTCTCATGGAAGCTTTTGGAGGTGTTTAGGGAGCAAACTAACACCTTAAAAGGTGTTTATGGTCCATGAATGAGGGTTTATGGTAAGATTTTGGTGCTCTAAGTCCATTCCTGCAAGTCCAAAGGTCTTAACTAAGCACTAGAAGTGATTTGGATGGGTTTGGGGCTTCAAAACCCTCTTTAGAGGTGTTTACGGTTTTGGGAGGTGTTCCCAACCATAAAAACATGGTCATGGGTGTTTTGAGTGATTCACACATGAATTTGCATACCAATCAAGTTAAACAACAAGTTAGGATAGATTGGTTACCAATTTGAGGCTTGAAAGGAGGTTTTTGGACCAAAAATCAGATTTTTAGAGAGAGAGAGTAGTGAGAGAAAGTGTTTTAAGAGAGAGAAAAAGCTTCAAAATGATGTCACTCAATCCCTTATATAGGGGTTGAGTTTATGGCCCGGTGGAAATCTACCCGATACTGACGTTAAACGGTGCTTTTGGTCGTACCCGATTAAGTTACCGTAATCACGACTTAGATGAAACTAAATATTTTCCAAACGAATATGGAAAATATTTTAATATTTAAAATGTATCCCAACATTTATGAAACCTAAATAGAAGTCGCAACAAATTAATTCAAAACAAAGCTAACGGAAAAATTGGAATGTAACGGCTTTATTAACGGAAACGGGTCAGAGACGGAATAAATTACGGGTTGTCACATTATCCCCCCGTTAGAGAAAATTTCGTCCCAAAATTTAAAATTAAGATATAAATCATGGAATTGAAAAGAGATGTGGATACTTCTGTTTCATCGAGTCTTCGCGCTCCCAAGTGAACTCAGGTCCCCGCTTGGCATTCCAGCGAACCTTCACTATCGTGATGCGACTTTGTTTCGTACGTTTGATCTCTGGATCCATGATTTTGATGGGTTCTTCTACAAAGTTTAAATTCTCGTTGATTTCTATCTCGTCAAGAGGGATCACAAGGGTTTCATCGGATAGATACTTTTTAAGATTTGAGACGTGGAAGACGGGATGAATGTTGCTAAGTTGTTGAGGGAGTCGGAGTTTGTAGGCTACAGGACCGATCCTAGCTAGGATCTCGAAAGGTCCGATGTACCTCGGGTTAAGTTTCCCACGCTTTCCAAAGCATATCATGCCTTTCCAGGGCGAGACCTTTAACAAGACGCGATCTCCAACCTGGAATTCTAATGGTTTTCGTTGTTTGTCAGCGTAACTCTTCTGTCGGTCTCGTGAAGCTTTCAGTCGTTCTTGGATCTGGATGATCTTCTTGGTGGTTTCGCGAATGATTTCAGGACCAATGAGAGCATTGTTGGGGACTCGACTCTTAACTAGCTACGTGTATCCTACCTCGGCCCAGCATAGAGGGGATCTGCACTTGCGACCATAGAGGACTTCAAACGGGGCATTCTTGATGCTGGTGGGGTAACTGTTGTTATATGAGAACTCGATCAAAGGCAAATTTGTGTCCCATGACTTTTCGAAATGAATGACACATGCTCTAAGCATGTCTTCCAGGGTTTGGATAGTTCTCTCACTCTGTCCGTCAGTCTGAGGATGATAGGCTGTGCTCATGTCTAGCTTGGTTCCAAGAGCTTTCTGGAGAGACTGCCAAAATCGGGAGGTAAACCTGCTATCTCTATCGGAGATAATGGACACATGTACACCATGCAGTCGAACTATCTCTTGGATGTAGATTCGCGTGAGTCTTTCCATCTTGAATAACTCTTTAATCGGAATGAAGTGGGCGGATTTTGTCAGACGATCGACAATTACCCAAATGGTATCACACCCACTTGGACATTTGGGTAACTTAGTGATGAAATCCATGGTAATCATCTCCCATTTCCACTCAGGTATCTCGGGCTGCTGAAGCAAACCCGAGGGCTTCTGATACTCGACCTTTACCTTGGTGCAAGTCAGACACTTGCCCACGAAGGTTGCGATTTCGGCTTTCATGTTCGGCCACCAGTATTGTTTCTTGAGATCCAGGTACATCTTGTCCGAACCTGGGTGAACAGAGTATTTGGTCTTGCGAGCTTCAGTCCTGACGACGTCTCTGAAACCTCCGAACTTTGGGGTCCAGATTCTATCCATGAAACAGTAGACTCCATCACCTCTGATCTCAAGTTTCTTCTCCATTCCTCTCAAGGCTTCGATCAATACGTTTTCTAGCTTTACGGCTTCCAACTGAGCTTGTTGGATTTGTGCGGATAAGTGAGAATGGATGGTCATCGTCAATGTCTTCGCCTTGCGACTTGAACTCTCCTTTCGGCTCA